TCCTCCTCCTCCTCCTCTCCTCTCTCTCTCTCTCTCTCTCTCTCTCTCTCTCTCTCTCTCTCTCTCTCTCTCTCTCTCTCTCTCTCTCTCTTCACCGGACATAGTTTTTTTCGCCATACCGTGGAATTTAATTCGTGCATAGAGCAAAATTTATCTTCAAATTCTTCTATACGCAACTCGCGAGCTCCACCTCCTTCGCGTTCGATCTAGAAATTCCCTTTTTTTTTCTTCTGCCGCTTACGAATCCGCAGTGAATTTCGCAGTGGTAGTCGAGTGGGCAGAGAAATTTAAGAGTTCCCGGGATATTTTGTTTCTCTCGCTGATTATTCTCTTCGCATTTCTCCTCTTTTTTTACGTTGCAGTGAGGCGATACGCATGCGATGCTCGCACTTGCGTTCGTACCGGTACGTGCATCTTTTAACATCAGAACCGGAAACCAGTTGGTAACAGCGTGGTTTTTATGAAGATCGTAAAAGGGTTGGTTGTAGCGTAAAATTTACCCACCAGAATGCGCAATGAGTTAGAAACATGAGTTAGAAAACAGAACTTGGAAAACGCGCTTTTATAAGCCATCACGTGAGAGTAAATGTTATCATAATGTTGATTCGATTCGACAATTATTCGGCAAATAATTTTTCTTTCTCGACGATTATCTCATTCACAAAAGAATTCTACAAAAGACTTCTATTGAGACAAGAGACTTTTATTGCTTCGAAATTATGGATCATATTTATTCAATCGAAATTCAGAGATGAAAGGAGCAACATCGCTTGATCTTTGCGGAAAGCACCCTCAAACTGAATTCATTATTCGGACGAAGCATTTTCATCATTCTTCTTCTGTTCTTCATTTCAAGTAATAAGTACTCTTTTCTTCGATGCCTTTTAACATAGAAAAGAGCTTACCCCTACCAACGGATCCGAGCGATTTTATCAAAGTTCGAGCTCAAAAGAATTTTCATCTTTGCACTTGTTTCATCCGAGACTACGCTATTTACATATATTTATAAATTTTTTAGCGCATAAATTTTCCGAGATTAACCTGTTGTAATACGTTAGACAGCATTGCTAACATTTCCGCGGATACTTTCAAGCTGCTTACAAAAATTCCCATAGCATATTTCATATTTTTCTTATTCCTACAATAGAGATTTATTTAATACCACGAACTTACCGATATTTCAAATTCATTTTTTAATATTTTTTATGTTATCACATTAAATATATTAATTAACAAAAATTAAACTAACTCGTTTTACAGTTTCAGATGGCGACATTTTTCATTATTTTTGCGTAAAAAAAGAGAAAAGATTGCTTATGGCGAACACATCTTCTCCGCGGTTTTTTCATAAAAAAATACGTCGCTAGGTGGAGTTCTTAATGGTCAGAAATATAAGCGCGCGGTCTGTAGATTTCGAGCAAGGAACCTCGTCGCAGCTCCTCGTTTCCTGACTTAAAGGGAGTTGCGAAGTTTCTTTGTTATTCCCTTCCGACCTCCGCCGGGATTTTGCCTGCGAATCGGCCGGACAGACATTGCAAACTTTTACTGGAACTTTTCATCAGACTAGCCAAATGTAAAGCGCTGTTTGGTATGAACAGCTTTCACGATACTCAACGACTATGCAG